TGACATTTACTCAGAAAGTACCTTGCTCTCCTTTCAGAGAAAGTGAATTTTACAAATTGTTTCTCCTACAATTGATTTCCTTCTGTACCATTAAATGACCATTTGTATTCTTCTATCTTAGGTATTATATTTTGTTTAAGCCCAGATTGATCATTGTTGAGTTGTGTTTGAGCAGTGTTTGTTACACTCAAAGGGACTTTGGGCTTGGGTTAACTCATCCTGGGTCTGGATTGACATCCAGAACTCCAGGAATTCTTTTGATCTGAGCTAGTGCCTACCTTTCCAACCAAATAATGAATTCTGAACTAATCACAGGATTTTTGTTTTTGTTTTGTTTTTAATTTTATTTTTTCTCTGACTCTCTGGACTGAGAGCAGAAATGCTGCCTTAGTGAGAGAGGTTTAGGAAGCAACAGGTTTCATCTTTCCTTAGCATGCCTGGCCTTTGGTGAGTTTGGGAGTGTTGACAGAGTTCTTTACCTTCTTGGCAGAGAAGGAAGGTCAGAAGGAGAGAAGTCCACGGGCAGAAGGCCAGGTCTCTCCTTACCTCGTTAGGGATAGCGTTGTCTGTCTGGTTGGCAGGACACACTGAATCACAGAGACTCAGCATTTCAGCAGTTTGCAAAGGGAAGTGATATGAAGGGACAGCTGCAAGTCAGCCACAACCTAGATAGGAGGAGGTGAAGCATTTACTTCACTTGGAAGAAAGAGAGAAGGAAGGAAGCCGAGGGCTTAGCAGGGTAAGTTACTTTTCCATCAAACCATCTGCTTGCTTAGTTTATAGTTGAGTAAAACATTTATCACCCCCGGGAGTGTTAATCACTGATTAAGCAGCCAAATGTGCTTAATAATAACAATATTCTTAATATATTCCTCCTTTTCTCTTTCTCTTTCCCAGCTCCTTATAGGATCCCCCAATGACTAGAATCATTTCCCCCTTTCCCTACCTCCCCAAAGGGTGAATTAGAGAAAATTAGATGGTCCTTCCTGGTCTGGAGATAGTGAGAAGGTAACTGGTTTGGGTGAAACTTGAGGCTTTTGGTGATGAAGGGCAAAAATGGGAGACCTGGTCTGGGAATAGGCTAATATTGGAGGGAATTTGGAAATGAAAGATAAGAGTTTTTCTAGACCGTGCAGACTGTCTCCTCTTTAGTCCTTAGTGTTGGTGTTTTCTGTCTTGCGGGAATAAATTAGAGCCCAAGTTATTGGGGATGGCTAGAAAAAAAGTTGAAGTGATTCCTTGTAGGTGAAGTAGATTCTGATCTCTGGAAAATTCTGAAAGCTTATTACATATAATTCCTTCCAGCTTCTCCTTGTTTTGTCTGTTTTTTTTTTTTTTGCCTTCATTTCTCTCAGTCCTGTTCCCTCCCCTCAAACTTGGAGGATCCTGGGGCTCATTGCAGGAAAGTTAGAACCAGGGAAGCTGGGTCTGGTCCTAGGGTACACAAACTCAGACATGAACCTCATGTAGATACAAATGCACCTTCTTACCTTACCTTACTCTACCTTCTTCCTAGAAGTTTAGTTCATTTGTATCATTAACCTTCTCTAGACACAGAGGAAACTATCAAGGATTCATCACCACCACTCCTCCCCAAACTGATCCCTGCACTTCCCAGCCAGTTCAGCCAACCCCCAGAGAGCCAAGAGTTAATCTTCCATTGGAGAAAGACGTCTTTGGAAAGGCAGATTAAGTTAGGAAGTACATTTCTGGTCTTAATTGGCTTCCATTGCAGCACAAAGTCTAGTTGAACATCAGGAATATATATTTATTATTACTCCTGGGATTTTAGACTCTTGATCTATCTCAAATCAAAGATAATTTTTCTCTATATCTTTCAAGAAAGATGAATCCATTCTTTCAAGTTTCAAGAAGGTATCTTGCCTAAAGAGGCCGGGTAGCTAGAGCAGAGGAATGCTTCTCAAGTTGCAGTGATTTTGGAAATTGGATGAGAATGTGTAGTGATTAAAAATGGAAAGAAGGGTCACCTGGGTGGCTTTGTCAGTTGAGCATTCAACTCTTGATTTCAGCTTAGGTCATGATCTTGGGGTTACAAGATTGAGCTTCAAGTTGGGCTCTGCACTGAGTGTGGGGTCTGCTCAAAATTCTCTCCCTCTCCCTTTGCCCCTCCCTGGCTGCTCAAACAGGCTTGCTCTCTTAAAAATATAGATAGATAGATAGATAGATAGGATAGATAGATAAATGAAATAAAGCGTATATTTTTTAAAAGTGGAGGAAGAGTCAGGTCAGTTGGAAATGGGGTACTCAGGTGTGAAGGCATCCTTTAGTAAAGGGACATGACCCTTAAATCTTAAAATAATCTATCACCTTGAGGTCTAATTTCTTCTGTATTGGCAAGAATGTAGGTGATATATGCAGATGAGCTTAGCTATTCCTGTTCTGTAGACTCTGAAAACATCCATTTATCTGTGGGATGAGGGGAGAGATTACAGGGGTACAGTGAGAGGATGAGAGAGAAGTACAAAGGAAAATACAGATTAGTTCCCTCATTAACTAAGGACAACAGTTTGCAAAAGCCATGTTGTAAAATAATAGATTTTTTTTAAGTTTTCATTTTAATTCCAGTTAGTTAACATACAGTGTTATATTAGTTTCAGGTGTACTGGGTGATTCTGGGAAGTTTTTGTTTGTTCTGCCACTTACACCTCAGCTGAATGATGATTCTTGGAGTTTTTTCCCTAACGGATCTGATCCAGAAAGATTAAATGTCAGACTATTTTTGGAACAAAACCTGATCCCTGATTTGTACTTTAATAGTTACCTTATTCACAATAAAACCAATCACTGTTAGCATTTTTATCCTCTGCCATTTTCCTGTCCCTAGAGGCAGTTAATCTGAGGGTTAATAATTTTTTAGCTTCCCCGAGATGCCTGGGTGGCTGAGTTGGTTAAGCGTCTGCCTTGTGGTTATGATTTCAGGGTCCTGGGACTGAGTCCTGCATTGGGCTCCTTGCTCAGCGGGGAGCCTGCTTCTTCTGCCTACCGCTCCCACTGCTTGGGCAGGCACTTGCGCGCACACTATCTTTCTCTGACAAATAAAATCTCTTTAAAAATAATTTTTTAGCTTCTCAATCTCTACAGATACCTTTTTTTATTTTTTAATTGAGGTGAAATTCACATAACATAAAATTAATCCTTTTAAAATGAGCATGTTATGTCATACATTCACATTGTTACGCAACCACGACCTCTATCTAGTTCCAAAACATTTTCACCATCCCAAAAGAAAAACCTATAACCATTTAACAGTTACTCCCCATCGCTCCCTCTTCCATCCAGCCCCTGGCAGCCGTGAATCTGCTTTCTCTTTGGATTTACCTTTTCTCAATATTTCATATAAATGGAATCATGTAGCATATGATCTTTTGTGTCTGGCTTTCAGTTAGCATAATGTTTTTGAGGTTCACCCACATTATAGCATATTATCAGTACTTCATTTCTTTTGATGGTGTCCTATCCGAGAAATTGCCAAATCCATATTATGACACTTTTCCCTATGTGTTCTTCTAAGACTTTATAGTTTTAGTTCTTACATTGATGTTATACTTAATAACCAAACTCATACCATCCTATTTCATTAATTCCTAGAGTGTTCCCATCTACAGTTCTATGCTCATGCTCTTCTCTGTGTTTAGAATTCCTTTTTCTGTCTCCATTTATTCAAAGTATTACCATCATTAATGGGTCTGTTCTGACTGCTCTATGCTTTATAAAGTCGTCTACAGCTAACTAACTGAGGAGACTCTTTCCTTCTGATCTGCTTTAGTTTCACTTTTCTTACAAGGATTTATATACTGCCTTATATTATAATTTACATTTGATCCCTCTTTAAGACATTTACATATTAAGTATATTTTGCATATGTTTCCATTATAATATTTTATAAATGATTATATGTGTTTAGCAATAAATATTTTTTGAATGAATGGATGTTTTTATTTTTCCCAATATAGTTCCTTTTGTTTACTCATTCCTTTGGGAAGGAATGGGAGAAGACGAGGCTGGAAAGGAGAATATCAGAGTTCCTCCTAGGTAGTGGGTAGATAATGGGATTAGTTCTACTTTAAAGCTCAGTTCTTTAGGAAATTTTCCTCATAATTTGCATAACTTGCTTTGACTACATAAATCTTAATATTGTGGTGCTGATTTTGTATTGCATTTAATTTCTACTTCTGGGTTGAGTGCTTAAAAATGTGATGATAGGGGGGCGCCTAGGTGGCTCAGTGGGTTAAGCCGCTGCCTTCGGCTCAGGTCATGATCTCAGGGTCCTGGGATCAAGTCCCGCATCGGGCTCTCTGCTCAGCAGGGAGCCTGCTTCCCTCTCTCTCTCTCTGCCTGCCTCTCTGTCTACTTGTGATCTCTCTCTGTCAAATAAATAAATAAAATCTTTAAAAAAAAATGTGATGATAGGTCTTCTAAAATGAATGTTTTATTTCCCTAGCTAGGTGAGGTTGACTGATTCTCCAAATAGTTGGTAGTTTTGAACAACCAAAATTTCTGTTGCTTTTTCCTCCCTTATTTTAAGTTGATTTTTTTCAATGCATTAATAATATATGAATATATTCTTAGTATTCAAGAGTCAAACATTACAGATAAGTCTAAAGTTCCTTTTGATTAACCCAGTTCCTATCCCATTACTTCTTTCCCTCCGAGTTAATCATTGTTATTGGTTTTTTTTTTTTTTAAGATTTTATTTATTTATTTGAGAGAGAAAGCATGAGAGGAGAGAGGTCAGCAGGAGAAGCAGACTCGCTGCTGAGCAGGGAGCCTGATGTGGAACTTGATCCCAGGACTCCAGGATCATGAACTGAGCCGAAAGCAGTCGCTTAACCAACTGAGCCACCCAGGCGCCCCTGTTACTGGTTTTTTATGAGCCCTGCCAGACCTTTTTCTATGCATTTACTTATATACATAGTTTATTTTTCATATAGAACTTCATATGTGATACATATATAATTATGTTGATATACAATTATTTTCCTCCTGTTTTTTATAACTGCCTGTGATGATCAATCATCAGTAGACCCTAAGTAAATCTTACTGATAGCTGTAGAGACTGTAATGAAAATTGAAAGGTCAAACATATGAAAACACATTGTACTTGTCTAGCTTGCAAAATTTCATTCTATATCTGTTCTACATATAGTCCCAGGTATCAGTGGACAGCCATGGCTCCAAGATCCCGGCAACGAAGGCACAAGAAACCCCCTTCATCGGTGACTCCCATGGTTGTGACCCCACCCACAGTTGTGACCTCTGTGCCTCTGACCCTCTCAAAACCTGACCCTAGCATTGATGCACTTGGCTTCTTCTCCTTGGAGAATAATGTTCCTGGCCTATCCCAGCTAATCCTTCAAAAGCTAAACATGAAAAGCTATGAAGAATACAAGTGAGTTTCTAGCTCTGTGGAAGAATAATACATTATCTCTGGGAGAAGTGATTTCAGAAAGCAAGAAGGGAATAGAACTTGGGGAATATGGAGCATTTACAATGAGGGAGTTTCTCATCCTGACTTTTGCAAGTTTTATTACTATAGAAGAAATATAATATGCTCATGTGAGAAATAGTGGGAATAGATGGAAATATATAGGAGGCAAGGTATAGGTCATGAATGATTCTGGAGATACTCTTTTTCCTATTGCCACTTCTCCATGCCATTTCTGCAGGTTGGTGCTAGATGGGGGTGCTTCTGTATCAGGCTTTGGATTTCGATGCCTTCGAGAAATGTTCCAGAAGATGGAGGACACATTCCAATTCTGTGCTCACTGTAGAGCTCTTCCTAGTGGCCTTTCAGACTCCAAGGTCCTGCGGCAGTGCAAGAGGTGACTAGTTGGGGGCTAATAGGAAAGTCATCCAGAAATGATCCTATTCTAAGACTTCATTGCAGGAGGAAAGGTCTAAGAGTTTTCAGAATAACTTTGGGCTCACTCCTCATTTTTTGGGATCCGGATCACAGAAAGATTAGAAAAGGACTGGGCTCCTGTTTATTTTGGGTATTATGGGGAAGTCAGACAATGGTACAGTAGTCCCCCTTATGTGCAGTTTCAAGTGACCCCACCCACAGTTGTGACCTACGTTTGTGATCTACGGTTTCAGTTATGCGTGGTCAACCACAGTCTGGAAACAGATGACCTCCTCTGGCTATTGTCACAAAGTTAATAGCGTAATGCTGAGTACAGCACCTATATCATTCACCTCACTTCATCTTACCATGTTGAAGGCATTTTAGGCATTTTGTCATCTCACATCACAAGAAGAAGGGTCAGTATAGTACAATAAGATACTTTGAGAGACCACATTCATATAACATTTATTATAGTATAATTGTTTTATTATGTTATTGTCATTAATCTTTTACTGTGCCTAATTTGTAAACTTTATCATAGGTATGTATATGCAGGAAAATACATAGTATATATAGGGTTTGGTACTATCCATGAGTTCAGGCATCCACTGGAGTCTTAGAACATTTTCCCTGTGGAGAATGGAATAATCTGTATAATCTACTGTATAATTTTCTCCACTTCCTTCCTCTTGAGTATTGAATGGGTAAGATCCTGTCTGTTCTGGGGAGGTTGGGGTTGAGCCACACCTGTGATAAAAGGGCAGCTGCAAACTCCTAATGTTTTTTTTTTTTTTCTGTAAGGGATGTAAAAAGTTAGTTGTTCCAGATACAGACTGAGGTGTACTCTGACCCAAGAGAATAATTACATTCCTAGTCTCTCATGCCTCCTCTGCCAAATGTAATCTCCAAAATTGGTGCATCAGCTCTAACTCCTCTCCATAACTTTCCTACTCAGTGATCTTTCTTCCTAGATACAGGAATTGTCAATTCCCTTCCCTAGACATCCCCCAATCACCTTTGAGGTATAGGAACATCTATTTCTGGGACTAATCTTTCAGGTGCAGAAATGTCTATTACTGTGGTCCAGAGTGCCAGAAGTCAGACTGGCCAGAGCACAGGAAGGTTTGTCAAGAGCTGCGTCTGGTAGCTGTGGACCGTCTCATGGAATGGCTTCTAGTCACAGGTGAAGTGGTGGTGCTGGAGAACTCTGCCATAGCAGTCATAGTTGGTTGTACTTGGAAAAAGATATGAAAGCATGTTGTTATGAGGGAAACATGAGAAACTCAGTGGGGCAGTCCTGGTCACAAGTAGGAAGAGTAAATTTTGGAAAGAATATTGAAGCCAGGAAAGGATTAGGTCACTCTTATCCCCTCTTTCTACAGGTGCTTTTGTCCTACCTTCAGGACCTTGGCCATGTGTGGCTGAAGTTGTACAGGGCTGGGATACCTGGTTTTCTATGCGGCATTTACAGCTAGAAGCTATACTGGATGCTGTACTAGGTAGTCATGCCATGAACACCCTGTGGGCCAACGTAGGACGGCCAAGGCCAGACCCAGATGTCCTGCAGGGCTCTTTGAAGCGGCTGCTGACAGATGCCCTATCACGGCCCTTGACACTGGGCCTTGGGCTTCGGGCCTTGGGGATAGATATTGGGAAGACTGGGGGAAGCACAGTGCATGTGGTTGGTGCTTCCCATGTGGAGACATTCCTCACACGCCCTGGGGACTATGATGAGCTTGGCTACATGTTTCCTGGACACCTAGGCCTCCGTGTGATCATGGTGGGTATAGACGTATCTGCTGACTTTACACAGAGCACCTCAACTTCCCCCCTGGAACCTGGCACAGTTCAACTTAGTGGCCATAGGGGCCTCTATCATGACTTCTGGGAGGAACAGGTAGAGACTGGACAGATAGCCCATCCAGATTTGGTGGTGGCATTCCATCCAGGTAAGAGTCATTCAGGGGAATACTGGTGGCTTTTTAGGGAATTTTCCATCCTGATTCTTATATCTCCTCTATTTGGAACCCCATTCATTTGGTCAGATTAAACATACTATGATGACAACCTTGGTTGATCATTAGCCATACGTGCTATACCTTGGTTCAGAATTTTCCATTGCAGAACCTGGGGTGGATGGTGGTGGTAAATGAGCACTGGAGGTGAGAAAGGTGAAGGGAGGGGTGGACACAAAAAAGTAAATTGCTTAGGGTCTACCTCAGCCTTTCTCCTCTCTATATCCATTTCTGTTATTTTTTTCCCCATAGGTTTCCATGCTTCCCCAGATTTGATGGAGGCTTGGCTGCCTACCCTCCTGCTACTTCGTGATTATGAGATCCCTACATTGATCACTGTTTACAGGTTCCAACCTCTTCCTATTTGTGATACCTCCCTCCCTCACTCATACCTCTCTCTGTATAGATGAGCTCATTTCTCTCCCCTTTCCTCATCTTCTGTCTTCTGGTGAGGATTTTCTTCTTTTCTAATCCCCTTGGAACCAAGTCCTATGCTAGTTAATCAGTTACTGAGTGAGACATTTGGGAGAGAAGGATACCCTGGCCTGACTAGCCTTAGGTAATTTGGGGGATTACTGAGTCCAGAAGTATCAAGTTCTGAGGAATTTCTCTCCTATGTCTCTCATAATTAGCAGAGCAATTTCTTTTTTCCTCTCTCTCTTTTTTAAAATCTGTCTCCTATAGCCATCAGGAGTTGGCGGCTTCTTTGCAGATTCTGGTGGACCTGGATACACACATCACTGCCTATGGAGCTAATCCTTTCGCGTCCCTCAAACCTGAACAGGTCTATTCCAACCCCAACAAGCAACCAGTATACTGCAGTGCCTACTATATCATGTTTCTTGGAAGTTCCTGCAAGCTGGATAGGAGGCAACTGGAAAAGAAAGTAGATGGTGGGGTTTAAATAGCTGAGGCAGATCCTGACTGGACTTTTAGAAAATTGGGAGGTTGTGATGAAAATACCCTGCTGACGTCAGGTTGTTGCCAACCTTGAAATCCACTATATTTTAAACCTTGGCAACTTGTCTAGTAAAGAGTCTAAGCTGAATGGGAGTTCCTATATGATTTGACTCTTTTCTAAGAGATTAGCCACAAGTAGCTTCCAGAGACAGGATTCTAGATTTAATGTGTGGCAAGAAGCCCTAGTATCACTCTCCAGAGCCTAGAATTCCTGACATTTTCCTTTGTGAGAAAGTTGTACCTTTTGACTTGAATCAGATGCTGCCAAGGAAAAGAATGGCACCTTCTTTTTTCTGGAAAAAGACTTTCTTATCCAGCAATCTGGGCTGAAAAATGGAGAGGTGTTAATGACTTGAAGTGGTACGAGAATAGGCAATAGAGATGTGGCCGGGAACATGGGAGAGGTTGTGAGGATTGGCATATTGTTCTATTTCCTGGCTTTTTCTAAGTAAATATCTTATTTTCTTCTTGCTTGGGGCCTTCTAGCCCTAGAGCAGCTTTTTGCCTTGTGTTGTATTTAAATATTCCAGAGTAGGATCACCTGGGTGTGCAGTCATTGTTAAGTTTCTCACTCTTGAGCATAAACTCTGCTCTGGTCAAAATTTCAGGGTCATGGGATTGATCCCTGCATTGGGCTCCATGCTCAGGGAGAATCTGCTTGATATTCTCTCTCCCTCTCCCTCTACCCCTGCCGCTTGTACTCTCTAAAATAAATAAATCTTTCAAAACATTAAAAATAAATATCCCAGGGTCTATTGGACTTTAGTTGAATAAACTGGAGTTATTTGTTATTACCTAGTTTATACCACAATAAACTCAGTTTGGGGCTTCTTAAGTTACTTGTTTTGTCCTATGTCCTATTCACTGGCAAGTATTACTTGTCTAGTCATAATACCTCAAGACTGGAGGTTTCTCTCTTGCCAAAGGAGTGATTAACACCAGCTCTCTGTTTGGGCCTGCTACTCTGCCACATCATATCTCATGCCATCCTTCTCCTACCACATTCTCAAAATTAGGATATTCCTTAAGTATTTGTTCCTACAGCCTTGCCATGACCTCAGCCTCCCATCCCTAACCTTAACACACACATATACATTCTTATTGCCCAGTCTGATAGGGGTAATGTTAGAATTCATGTGTTCTGGGGTACCTGGGTGGCTCAATTGGTTAAATGTCTTACTGTTGATTTCGGCTCAGGTCATGATCTCAGGGTTGTGGGATTGAGCCCCATGTTGGGTTCTACACTGGGCATGGAGCCTACCTTAAAAAAAAAAAAAGAGTTAAGTAAAAATGTTTGCAAAGTTGGAGGACTCACACATTTCAATTGCAAAGTTTACTACAAAACGATGGTAATCAAGACAGTGTGGTACTTGCCTAGGATAGACCTATAGATCAATGACATCAAATTGATATGCAAGAAATAAATTGAGAAGCAAGAAATAACATTTATGCACAATTAATTTTTGACAAGAGTAATAAAACAACTCAATGGGAAAAGAACAGACTTTTTAACAGCTGGTGCTGGAACAACAGGATTCCACATGCAAAAGGAGGAAGTTGGACCCTAAGCTCTAACTAAGAGAATTTCTTCTTAGTTAGAGAACTGAGTTCTCTCAATGGCAACTGAAAAATTTATAGCATACTAACCAACTAACTGATGTTAACATCAGTTAGTTAGTTGGTTAGTTGAAGTTGGTTTTCAATTCAGTGAAATTATAATATTAAAAAGTTTATCCTGGGGTGCCTAGGTGGCTCAGTCATTAAGCATCTAAGCATCTAACTAACTAGTCAGTAACTAACTCACTCCAGTCCAACTGAAGTTGGATCCCCCCCCCAACACACACACAGCACACAAAAATTAACTCAAAATGGATCAAAGACCTAAAACTATTCAACTCGTAGGTGAAAACATAAGGGTAAATCTGTATGGTAAAGCTGGATTGGGCAATGGTTTATTAAATATGATATCAAACCTATAAGCAACCAAAATAAAAATAGATAAATTAGACTTTATCAAATTTAAAAACTATTGAAAGGACACCATCAAGAAAGTTAAAAGAATGTAAGAAAATATTAGTAAACCACATATCTGATAATGGACTTATATCCAGAATATATATTAAAGAACAGTGACAACAATAAAAGAACAAAAAATCCAATTACAAAATAGGCAAATATCTGAATAGATATTTCCCCAAAGAAGATATACAAATGATCAATAAGTACATGAAAAGGTGCTTAACATCTTTAGTCATCAGGAAATAAAAGTCAAAACAATAATGAAACAGCACTTCATTAAAACAATAATAATTAAAAAGAGAAATAAGTTTTGGTGATGTAGAGCAATTTAACCCTCATACACTCTTGGTGGGGATATAAAATGATGCAGCCATTTTGGAATACAGTCTGGCAGTTACTCAAGAAGTTAAACATTGAGTTACCATTTGATCCAGCCATTATCCTCCTTGGTATGTCCCATGAGAAATGAAACCATGTACACAAATGATCATAGCTGCATTATTCACAATAGTCAACAAATAAAAACCCAAATATCTATCAACTTATGAATGGGTAAATAAAATGTAGTATATCCATGTAATGAAATATTGGCCTTAGAAAGGAATTACTGATTCAAGCTACAACATGGATGAACCTTGAAAACATGTTCGTTGATCTTCATGTTAAGTGGAAGAAGTCACAAACACCACATAATATATGAATACATTTATATGAAATGTCTAGAACAGACAAATCTATGAAGCCAAAGTAGATTAGTGGCAGCATATGGATGAGGGGGATGAGGGAATTGAGGTAATGGGTTAAGGGTGTGGTTTTATTTTGGAGGTGATATAAATGTTCTAAAATTTATTCTGGTGGTGATATAGCTCTGAATATGTTAAAAACCCTTGAATTGTACTGAGTGGACTAGATCTTCATAAAGCTGTTACTAAAAAAATTTTTTTTAAACTTAGTGTAGGTAAGGGTGCCTGGGTGGCTCAGTTGATTAAGTGTCCAAGTCTTGATTTTGGCTCAGGTCATGATCTCAGGGTTGTGGATTGAGCTTGGGCTCTTTGCTGGGCAGAGTGTGCTTGAGGTGCTCTCTCCCTTCTCTTTCTGCCCCTCCCCCCTGGGGGGGGGGAAATCTTTGAAACTGTAAAAATGGAGAATATTGGCAAAGCATTTAATGCAATGCCTAGCACATAGTTCATACTTAATAAATGGTACCTATTGTTAAATCCATACCATTTTAATTTTACACAGCAACATAAACCTTGAGCTAGCATACTGTGTAAGTATTGATTTGATGATGGAAAAACCATTTGGATGTGTCATGGTTCAGACAAGATAATGCGGGTGCCAGATAAGGTAATAGTGTTAGGTCCATGGTCAAAGGAACGAGACTGATACAAAGCGAAGGTCAAGCAAAGCTTTATTTCGTGCTAAGCATCGAGAATCAAACCGACCGTTTGGGGCCTCCTTTACAGAGAGGGGGACCCCCCCCCCCAGCCTCACAGACTAACTTTTATAGAGCAAAGGCCATGTGGTTGAGCCTGGCCACCACAGGTAGCCAATGAGATTGCAACACACAGAGAAAGCTGCACAGTCATGCTAGGTCACACACGGGTGGCCAATTGAATTACAATTCACCCCATAGTAGCTATTTGAACTAGCCTATCACCTTGGTCAGAATTGGTGCCAAAAGGTGCCCAAAAGGTGGGGCCCACACTCCTTGGTAGCTAGGGAGACAGTATGCGTGCTCCCCTGACTGGATGTCTCCACCTGGCCTGACTCATCCCCCCATTCGGGCTCTGTTGTCTCCACCTGACCTGACCCGCCCTTGTATTTGGGCTCTGTTATCAGGGACTGGTCGACCAGTAGAATGCTACCAGTTTCCCCGACTTGCTTTTAAGTAAGTTCCCCTGGGGGGGCGGGGCAGGGTCAGTTTAAGTTTTACTGCGTAAGCAACAAAATGGCTGTTTAACCGAGATGGAGCCGCCCTGGCTAAATAGGCCCTTAAAATAGTAGGAGGCATGGAAAGGGAAGGGGTAATTTCTAACAAGTAAATTGTGACATTTTATAGAAAAAGCATGAAAGTAAAGTCTATAGGGTTTGGTTATTGATTATGATGGGTGAAGTGTTATATCTCTCAGAATCAGATTAGGAGAGAGAAACCACACAGTAACAAGTGACACAAAATTTCCAATTTAGTCATCTGGTGGTGAGAGTACATAAAAGTTGAAATGCCTACCTTCGTGCTAACTGCTGAGAAATCTAAGACGGCTTCTGCCTTTAAAGTGCTTCCAATTTAATAGAAGAAGACTGACTTAAGGGAAATATATTTCTTAACTAAGCAAATGAAAAAAATCAGCATTTTAAAAACCATTAAAAATCCTGTAGGATAGTACTAAATTGGATTCTGACATGCTCATCTCAGCAGGTCTATCAGAGCCATTTTTCCTCCAGTATTAAATATAGCCCTGCTTATTTGATCGCCAGATCAACTGTTGGCTTGGGTTTTGCCGGCCATTCATTTGGGGGAATAATTTTTCTAGAGAATAAATTGGTCTATGTCATTCTCTTGATTGAACTTCTCCAGTACCTTCCCACTGGAACCTGAATAAAATCCAAATTCCTGGCCCACCCTCATGAGGAAGCTTTTGGGTAGAAAAGCATGTAGAATGACAAGTTGATGGTTCTCAGACTTAAGTGTGCTAGAACCACCTGGACGGTTTGTTAAACAAATTGCTTGGCTCCACCCCAGAGTTTGAGTCAGTAGATTTAAGGTGGAGCCCCAAATCTGCATTTCTATCAAGTTTCCTAGTCAAATTGCTGCTACTTGTATGAGGACCATACTTTGAGAACCACTGTAAAAGCTTAACTGGTTTTTGCTCTGAAATAACCTTTCTTAATAAGTTTAAGATACTGGTCTGAGCCCCTGAAATGATCTCAGACGTTTAATGCTATTGTTTGTGTCAGATGTTAGGGCTCTAGTGTAAGGGAACCTAGAATCACCCAACAACCCGTCTGGAGTGGTTTTGATTTATAATGCATCTCGAGTTCTGACTGTCTAGGATCCCAGTAAGTTTTCATTCATTTCATAGGGATCTAACAAAAGATACGGTCTTTATCTCAGGGAGGACAGTACTTCAGAGGCCGAGAGGCTGCACCTGGCCTTGATGGTGCGCGGCCCTTCTCAACCGCCCGTCACAGAAAGGGCTGCGGGATTCCTTAAAACCGCTGTGACTTGAGAGAGCCCTAAAGTGATTAGGGATGGTCCCTGGGGCCGAGAAATGCGATAAAACTGGCTGGTCCAGCAGAAGGAAGCGTCTCCTCCCGCAGGTGGAGCTGCGAGGTACAAACGGTGCGGGAGCAGGAGCTGGGCGGAGCCGGGTGCCGCCCCCTCCAGTTGTAAGGGCGTTCCCAGCTGCCGCAGCGATCCTAACGGGCTCGGGCGGAGGCCCCTGGCGCTCCGCCTCCCCGGCCCCTCCCCCGGCTCCATCTTGCTGGCGACCAGGGTTGGGCTGTGACGCTGCTCTCTCGGGTCAGGTGAGGAACGGCGCCCCCTACCCTTTGTGTGCCCCTTTCCTGGGTCACCTCGCTC